AACTACTCACCCTTTGAAAAACAGCTGTTGGCCTGTTACTGGGCCTTGGTGGAGACTGAACGCCTCACCATGGGCCACCAAGTCACCATGAGGCCTGAACTACCTATCATGAACTGGGTATTGTCTGATCCACGAAATCATAAAGTGAAAGACAAGCTATTGCAGACTGTTAACTGAAAAGTCAGCAGTTCAAACCCACCAGCCGCTCCACATGATGACGACGAGGCTCTCTACTCCTGTAAAGAGTTACAGTCTTGGAAGCCCATGAGGTGGGTCCCCCAAGCCCGATCGCATCGCTGAGTCAGAATGGACGTGGTTTTTGTAGGGATGCTAGGAGTCAGAGGCACTTGAAGGCAGGTGTTGCTGGGTCGCCTGTGGTATTCCCCAGCCCAGGCCAAGGGACACAGCAGGTACTCCACAGTGCTCACGGTAGGAATAAACCCAAAACCCTAGAACAGACTTTTCCAGGTAGGCCACTGTTCCTGTGCATTTTACAAAAGAGGAATGGAGGCTCACGGCCGTGAAGAAGCTGCAGTGCTCGCCCGCCGAGCCCGATGCAGAAGCCCAGTTTGAAGACATGGTCTCCATGCTCCCGTGGTTCAGCCCTCGCCCTGATGGCCAGAGACCATTCACTGAGGAATGATGGTCCCTGGGGTTGACAGTTCAGGAGGTGCCAGGTGTGGGGACAGGACCAGACAAGAGTCTGGCCTGGATGTGCCCAGGCCTGCTGTGACGGACAACAAAAGCCTGAGTTGGGGTGGGGAGAGCACTCCCCTGCCAGATAGGGGGTGGTAATTTTCCCAGAGAGGATGCACTCTAAAGAGGGGGTCAGGCTTGAGTGTGGCGGACAGACACTGCCGGGTGCTGGGTATTTCCAAGGTTTTGCTACTGCTGAGACCCTGAAAATAAGAGGGGCCTTGGGGGTGGGGGCTGGTGTGGGTGGCAGGAAATGAAGAGGCACAGATAGAGGTGAGAGAATGCAACAGCATCACTGAGTCATTAGAGGGGCGGGGGGCGCACTCTGCCATGCGTGGATTCTTGGCCACCACCATGAGGAGGTGGTGGGGGCTGTTTAGCCCCCAGCCAGGCTTCAACCGGAACCCAGTTCACCAAAACTCAGGGTGCAGCCTGGCAGGAAGGATACATAACCCAGAGCCTAGCATGTGGCCGTCAACCAAAGGCCACTTATTTTTTCACACCTGGGGTGAAGGTGAGGGCCTGCCTGCAGGGGCACTTCAGTCTGAGCTTCAGGCTGACCAGTGGCGCTGAGCAGAGCAGGGCCTGGTCTCAGCCTCAGGAGCTCACTGCCAGGGGTGTGCTGGCTTAGCACTGTGGCTGTGACCTGGCCCGGTCAGGACAGAGGAGGGGACTGTCCACCAGGCCTGGGGTGGAGGAGGAAGGGCCGCTGTGGAAGACATCCCATGAAGTTCAGCATCTGCTCTGGGGCTTCTGAGGGCCACCATAGGGGGCCAAGTCTGGTCTCCCTCCTAGCTGGACCGAGTTCCCAACCTCAGACCAAACTCTCACTGCTATGGAGTCCGACTTATGGCGACCTATAGACTCCAGTATCCTATAGGACAGAGTAGCACTGGCCCCGTGGGTTTCTGAGACTATACTCTATAAGGGAGTAGAAAGCCTCATCTTTCTCCCAGAGGGGTTGGTGGTTTCAAACTGTTGACCTTGTGTTTAACAGCCCAATGTCTAACCACTACGCCACCAGGGCTCCTTCTGGGAAACTCGAAAACCAAAACCCGCTCCCATTGAGTCTGACTCACGGTGACCCTCTAGGACAGGGTAGAGCTGCCCCTGTGGGTTTCTGAGACTGTAACTCTTTACAGGAGTAGCAAGCCTCGCTTCTCTCCCTTGGAGTGGCTGGTGGTTTCGAACTGCTGATCTTGTGGTGAGCAGCTCAACGTGTCACCATGATGCCACTGGGGCTCACTAGGCAGGTTAATAACCACTCTGTTCCTCAGTGTCCCCATCAGCAGATGGGGATAATCACCAGAAGGGGACTGGGAGGGTTACAGGAGGCGGCCTGTGCAAAGGGAGTGGCAGCAGGACGGGTGGGGTGTGCCGAAGGAACACAGGTTTGTCGTCAGGGTAGCTTCCAGCGGGCACATGGCACATACAGAGGCAGGGTGGTGGGCAGAGAGAGGGGTGTGTGTGTGTGTGTGTACACACTAGTTCTAATTACACACGCAGTACCTGGGCAGATTCTCTTATCAACATTCCCACGGTCCAGTTGGAATGAAGGTCCCCATTGATGTCCACGCCTAGAAGAAGCAGCTACCCATCCAGTGTGTGCCCTTCTGAGGCCTGGGCCTCACACTCCCAGAGTTCAGTGAGTCAAGGTGCTGGCCCCCGGGCACTTGCCCCTCCGCCCCTCGGGGCTGTGACTCAGTACCCCACTCCCTGCTCCCCGCTGAATCCATCAAGGTGGCTGACTCATGCTAGCACACCCTGGGCTGAACAAAGACAAGACAATGTTCGCAGGGCCTGTGACTGAGGAACCTACGTCAGTGACCGAGAGGCTTGAAAAACAGAGCTGGAGCCAGGCCCACACCCTTGCCCCATCTTGCTGCCCCTGCCTCCCAGGATCTGGGTGTTCTCCATGTGACCCCACCAGGCAGGGCAGGTCAGAACATGCAAACACGTATGGAGCAGCGGGAAGCTGAAGTTGGGAGACCCAGGAGGGAGTGAGGCTGCTCATGAGTGCTACCACAGCGCGTGGCCACAGTGGGCTTCTGTAGCCCCCCCTCTCCAAACTGGGAGCTCCCTGAAGTCACAAACCCCAAACAAAGTAGAACAGGATATCTCCACTCCCCCTTTTATCAAATGAATTGTCACACACACACACACACACACACACACACACACACACACTAAAATAAGTACTGGGATCCTAGCCCCTCAGCCTGGTGAATGCAAGCTCTCCTGGGCGGGGGTTGGTTTTCTGTTGGGTCAGTGAGACAGCCACACTACTGAAGGCTGGGCCGTGGAGGTGCAGAGGGGCCCTGCCTGGACCCTGCAGTCTGACTGCTAGCCTTCAAGACCTCCAGAAAAGAATTGCCGCTTCTCTAAAGCACCCCACTGTGGTAACTGTGCCTGCAACACTAGGCCCTAAGCCCTAAG